ATAGAAACAAAAAACATGAAAACTTCTATGTGTGCGCATCTGTAGACACAGGTATGTATGTACACATTTAAAGGGAAAGGACTTCCCACCATCTCATATATAGAGCTGGCAATTTTGAGATTTCTGTGGAGGATACCCCAGGAAAGGATGAAAACCATCTTGATGAGGAGAGAAAGGATGAAGAAAGCATGTGCATATTTCAGAGGAAAAGTAGAACTTCAAAAAGCTGTGTAAACCTTTTACAGTGAATGCTATTTTTGATAACAGAAGCAAATACCTGGGCCAGTAAACAATGTGGGTTGGGCTGTGAAATTTATGTTTGGTGTTGGGTTGAGGAAAAGAAGGAAAGTATTACTGGAAAAGGACAGAAATGTCACCTTAACAAAATCTTGATGCTAATCTCCCCATGGGATTTTTAGAACAAGGCACCAGCGGTCACACTTTATAAAGGGAGAGCACTGCTTTGCCTGAATATAACCCTGCCCCTGTTTTTACCAGCTTGAGGGAAAAACAGACTGGATCTTTAGTCAAGCAAATGAACTAATGTTTTCCTAACACATATTTTTATATCAAGATAGTTTTTCTACATTGTCATAGCAAGACACAGCTTGTTTACAAGGAGAGTTTGTCTGAGCATAGGATAAGCTGTCAGAGTGAAAAAGCATCTATGAAATGCAGCCTGACAAAAGGTTTTATGATCACCTGAAGAGCATCAGCAATTCTAAAGATGTTATCTGAAGAAGGAGCACCTGAAGATGGAGAGAAAAGAACTGAAGAAGCAGCAGCTAGAATAATGGAAGAGGTAGTCCTGACAGTTTCTGGAAAGACTATATCCAGATGCAGAAATTAATTATGACGTAGGATCATAGGGGAAGCAAAGCAAAGCCAGAAAGCCTACAGATTTGAGAAAAGGGAGATGATAGAGGGGTAAACAGATTCTGTTCTACAGTCGGAGCCTGAAAGTGAGGCAGGACTGAGCGATAATCCTGTAGGTTGGAGTTCTGCCAGTAGAATAAAACATGAAATTGCAATAGCATCTTTCAAACCTAACAGAAATAGAGGATGAGTTTTTTAATTGACTTTGTGTTTAGAAATGTTTGAAATGGTACAGGGTTGGTAGATGATCAGTGGTGGACAGAGAATTTTTTGGGCTATATATGCATAGGAAATAGAAAGAACTATACAGAAGAATTAGGGAGATGGGGGCAGTAGAAACAAAAGGATGAATTATCAGAGAAGTGCATGAGAGAGTTACTACATGTGCCTGAAGAACATGTCAAGAGATGGGTTGCTTTGTCTTGTGCATACTGGTCACAGTACCTTATCACTGTTATTACCTAGTTTCAGGCAGCCAAGTTTGAGAGTTTTGGCCTACTGTTTGCACTCTTAAGTCAAGAGTAAACTCAGAAAGCTTTGAAAGTGATTCCATTAAGGTCAGGATCCTTCCCAATAAGCAAATCTTGTAGTTACTTTTAATACTGAACAGAGCATCCTTAAGAGAACTCACCACTTCCCCTGTTTGGCTAAAGTTAGAGAAAGGCAGTTGGGCTAGATGAACTTATGCATCAGAAGTAATATAGCTTCTCTTAATATCTTATGTTGAAGGTGTTAGGCAGAAAAAAAAACATTGTATATAAAGACAAGAGTCGGTTGTTAGTATAATTTAAATCTAATTCAGTAATTGTTATTAATCTATAAATAGTTGTTACAGAGATAATAGCATGTAATAAGAATACTTGTATACAGAAAAAAAACTCAGTAATAGTAATAATGTAGTTAAATAAAATAGTGGCGCTATGGTGATACGTCAACCTCTGATGTTTTTATGAGGAGGCATATGTTGTTGACAGTTTCTTCTTTCCCCTCACTCTAGGATTCACTATGTGTGATTTTTATATATTTAACACCATGTTTTTTCTCTCTTGTTCTTCATTGATCTACAGCTGCATGTTGCATCCAAATTTACTATATGTGGTAACAGTTATGTATTAGATGCTCTTTCTCTTTTTTTCTTTGTTATCTGTAAAATCAATTTTGTTCAGCTCCAGGTATACATTTTTTCAACTGAGCTTTGGTGAGTTATTTATGAGTATATGGTATCCTGTGTCAAGCCTGTACCCTATTTCTTACCATCCCATGCCTACACTCCTCTATGCCAAACCCATACGGTGACATTGTTTCTCAAAGCTTCTGCTGTTTTACCAAAGTTTCTGCTATGTCCACACTACTTCTTGATGCTAGAGGTGATACTGTATAAAGACACACAGAACTAAAACAAATTCACCTTAGATACCTGGTGAATTAGAGAAAAATGTTGTTAGAGCTAAACCAAGTAAAACAAAGCACAGGCAGGTCAAGAAAAGCTCAGGCAGAGTGGACCTGACAGCCTTTGTCCTAAAGACTGGCAAACTCTGTACAGAGCTTATTGCATGTTACTAGCAATGGCAAAGCCATATTACAGGTTGACGTTACAAAGGAAGTTAGAAAGAGCACAAGTTGAATTTGCTCCTGCTAGAATTTCTTTAAGTTTTTCTACTTGTGGAACCTAGAGTTTTCCTAGCTACAACACTGAGAAGATAATTCTGAGAACTTATTTCTGTACTTGATTTAGTTTACGATATTATATTATATTAGAAAGCAACCTCTGAGATTTTTTGTCCAAGGTCACTAATGGGCACAAATTCTTCTCATCACCCTCACCTATTGCTCTCATCATCACAAAATTTTTGTTCCTTCTTTAATCTCTTTTTTATCTTTTTTCGGTACATGTGTATGTTATTTCCACAAGATGCCCCAGGTGACATTTTCTATCAGTTCAGTATCAACATATTTTATTCAAAGATTGCTTCTTTCTGTTATGTTAGGAGCTAGCAAAATCTGTCTTTCTTTGCTTCTCTGACCAAAGATCAGGTATTTCACAGATATGTTTTATTTCCAGTTGAACTGCCACCATCAGGGGTGAGCACCAAATACTACTGTATTTGACATCTAAAATTCTTTAGATAGTATGTCGAAATAAAGATGTCAGCGTATGCTGAAATAAAGATTCCAGCATATGGAGTGAAAAATGTAAAGTAACATTCTATTCTCTGTTTTATCCTAATGCACAATGCTTCTGAAAATAGATGCTGTTCGCTATTTTCTCTCTGGAGTCAATGACCTTCCTTCTAATCCTTTACTACAACTCTCTCTAGATTTTAAAATCTTTGAAGCTGCTGCCTCACCAACTTAGAGCTTTAAGCAACACAAAATGCTACTGCTGTAACACAGTATTAATTTTCATAGTGGAACTGCTGATAAAATAAATTATTTTCCTCATGACAAGAAGTTTCAGACAGAAAATCTGAACATTTCCTCCCTACTTTCATGATTTTTATTGTTTAGCTTGTTAGTTGGGTTTTTTTAGATTAGGGATCCTCTACATCAATATTTCCCCTGAGTATAATTAGAAGTGATATCTTCTTAAGGTGAATATTGATTTGCATACGACTATCATCTTCTTCACTGGAAAAACTTCAGAGTAAAATTTCTACAACATCCAGTTTATACATTTTTGCTATTCTTATTTATACCACAGTATCTATGTGTATTAGGTTTGCATGGCAAGGATTTGGTAATGGGGGGCAACAGGAGTGTTTTCTGTGAGAAGATGTTCCGCCATGTCCGGCAGAGCCAACGTCAGGCAGCTCCAAGAGAGACGTGTTGCTGGCCAAGTCTGAGCCCATCAGAGATTGTTTGCAGCACCTCCGGGGTAAAGTATTTAAGACGGGGAAAAAAATTGCTGCACAATTGCAACTGCAGACAGGAGAGAAAAATGAGACTATGTGAGAGCAACAGCTCTGCAGGCACCCAGGTCAGTGCAGAAGGAAGGGAGGAGGTGCTCCAGGCACCAAAGCAGAGATTCCCCTGCAGCCTGTGGTGCAGCCCATGGTGAGACAGCTGTGCCCCTGCAGCCCATGGAGGTCCATGGTGGAGCAGATCACCCCCTACAGCCCATGCAGGACCCCACACCAGAGCGGGGGGATGCCTGAAGGAGGATGTGACCCCACGGGAAGCCTGTGCTGGAACAGGCTCTTGACAGGGCCTGTGGCCCTGTGGAGAGAGGAGCCCACACTGGAGCAGGTTTGCTACAGGATTGGTGACCTCACAGGGTTCCCAGGCTGGAGCAGTCTGTGCCTGAAGGGCTGCACCATGGAAGGGACCCATGCTGGAGCAGTGTGGGAAGAACTGCAGCCTGTGGGAAAGACTCACACTGGAGAAGTTCATGGAGGACAGCTTCCTATTGCAGGGAACCCACACTGGAGAAGGGGAAGAGTGTGAGGAGTCCTTCCCTGAGGAAGAAAGAGCAGCAGACACAACATTTGATGAACTGACTGCAACACCCATTCCTCTGTGCTGCTTGGGAGGAGGAGATAGCTAAATCAGGAAAGAAGTTGAGCCGATGAGGAAGGGAGTGATGCGGAGAAGCTTTTAAGATTTGGTTTCATTTCCTGTTATGCTAATCAGACTTGATTGGTAATAAATGAAACTAACTTCCACGACTCGAGTCTGTTTTGCCTGTGACAGTAACTGGTAAGTGATCTCTCCCTGTCATTATCTCAGCCCAAGAAGCTTTTTCATGTTTTCTCTCCCCTGTCCAGTTGAGGAAAGAACTGCCGTGGTTTAAGCTCAGCCGGACACCCAGAACCACGCAGATGATCGCTCCCCCCCGCCTTCCTCCACCCCGCTCCCAGAGGGATGGGGAGGAGAATTGAAAGAATGTAACTCCCATGGGTTGAAATAAGAACAGTCCAGTAACTAAGGTGTAACACAAACCACTGCTGCTACCACCAATAATAGCAATGATAAGGGAAATAACAAGGGGAGAGAATACAACCACTCACCACCCACTGACCGATACCCAGCCCGACCAGAGCAGTGATCCATCCCTTCCGGGTAACTGTCCCCATTTTATACACGGGGCATGACATCTTCCCCAGCAAATTCTTCATGTGCACTACAAGAACTTTATTCCCTTCTACAGTATATAAAAGTTCTGACTGGGCTGGACCAGCCCTGTTGAGAGATCCTCTGGTGTTGACCAACCAGGTGGCCTTTGGTAAGTGTGTATCCCAATGCTTGAAAGTTCCCCCACCCATTGCTTTCAGTGTAGTTTTTAACAGCCCATTGTACCGTTCAATTTTCCCAGAGGCTGGTGCATGGTAGGGGATGTGATATACCCACTCAATGCCATGCTCTTTGGCCCAAATGTCTATAAGGTTGTTGCAAAAATGAGTCCCATTGTCTGACTCAATTCTCTCTGGGGTGCCGTGTCGCCACAAAATCTGTTTCTCAAGGCCCAGGATAGTGTTCCAGGCAGTGGCATGGGGCACAGTGTATGTTTCCAGCCACCCGGTGGTTGCTTCCACCATGGTAAGCACATGGCGCTTGCCTTGGCGGGTTGGTGGCAGTGTGATATAGTCAATCTGCCAGGCCTCCCCATATTTATACTTCAACCATCGTCCTCCATACCAAAGAGGCTTTAACCGTTTAGCTTGCTTAATTGCAGCATATGTTTCACACTCATGAATAACCTGGGCAATAGTGTCCATTGTTAAGTCCCCCCTCGATCACGAGCCCATCTATATGTTGCATCTCTGCCCTGATGGCCTGAAGTGTCATGGACCCACCGAGCCAAAATAGTTCACCTTTATGTTGCCAATCTAAGTCCATCTGAGTCACTTCAATCTTAGCAGCTTTATCCACTTGGTTGCTCTGCTGTTCCTCAGTGGCCCGACTCTTGGGTACATGGGCATCTACATGGCGTACCTTCACCACCATGTTCTGCACCCACACAGTGATATTTGCCACAGTGCAGCAGCCCCGATGGGTTTACCTCTGTGTTGTCAGTTGCTCTGCTTCCATTGCTGCAACCACCCCCACAGGGCATTTGCCACCATCCATGAGTCAGTATAGAGATAAAGTACTGGCCACTTTTCTTGTTCAGCAATGTCCAAGACCAGCTGGATGGCTTTCACCTCAGCAAACTGACTCAATTCACCCTCTCATTCAGCAGTTTAGAATCATAGAATCATAGAACAGTTAGGGTTGGAAAAACCTTAAGATCATCTACTTCCAACCTCCCTGCCATGAGCAGGGACACCTCACACTAAACCATATCACCCAAGGCCTCATTCAACCTGGTCTTGAACACTGCCAGGGATGGAGCATTCACAATCTCCCTGGGCAACCCATTCCAGTGCCTCATCACCCTAACAGGAAAGAATTTCCTCCTTATATCCAATCTAAACTTCCCCTGTTTAAGTTTTAATCCATTACCCCTTGTAATGTCACTACAGTCCCTAATGAAGTGTCCCTCCCCAGTATCCTTATAGGCCCCAGGCAGATACTGAAAGGCTGCTATGAGGTCTCCACGCAGCCTTCTCTTCTCCAGGCTGAACAGCCCCAACTTTCTCAGCCTATCTTCCTACGGGAGGTGCTCTAGTCCCCTGATAATCCTCATGGCCCTCCTCTGGACTTGTTCCAACAGTTCCATGTCCTTTCTATGTTGAGGACACCAGAATTGCACACAATACTCTAGGTGAGGTCTCACAAGAGCAGAGTAGAGGGGCAGGATCACCTCCTTTGACATGCTGGTCATGCTCCTTTTGATGCAGCCCAGGATACGGTTGGCTTTCTGGGCTGTGAGCGCACACTGCCAGCTCATGTTCATTTTCTCATCGACCAACACCCCCCAGTCCTTCTATGCAGGGCTGCTCTGAATCTCTTCTCTGCCCAACCTGTAGCTGTGCTTGGGATTGCTGTGACCCAGGTGTAGGACCTTGCACTTGGCATGAGGTTGGCATCAGCCCACCTCACAAGCGTGTCAAGGTCCCCCTGGATGGCATTCCTTCCCTCCAGCGTATCAACCGAACCACACAGCTTGGTGTCATCAGCAAACTTGCTGAGGGCACACTCAATCCCACTGTCCATGTCAGCAACAAAGATGTTAAACATGACTGGTCCCAAAACTGATCTCTGAGGGACACCACTCGTTACTGGTCTCCAGCTGGACATTGAGCCATTGACCACAACTCTTTGTGTGTGGCCATCCAGTCAGTTCTTTATCCACTGAGTGATCCACCTATCAAATTGATGTGTCTCCAATTTAGAGACAAGGATGTTGGCTGGGACAGTGTCAAGCACTTTACACAAGTCCAGGTAGATGACAGAAACTGCTCTACCCCTGTCCATCAGTTCCATAGCCACATCATAGAAGGCCACCAAATTGGTCAGGCAGGACTTCCCCTTAGTGAAGCCATGCTGGCTGTCACCAAGCACCTTGTTGTTTTTCATGTGCCTTAGCATGCCTTCCAGGAGAAACTGCTCCAAGATTTTGCCAGGCACAGAGGTGAGACTGACTGGTCTGTAATTCCCGGGGTCATCCATTTTCCCCTTCTTGAAAATGGGGGTTATATTTCCCTTTTTCCACTCATCGGGAACTTCACCTGACTGCCATGATTTCTCAAATATGATGGCCAGCAGTTTAGCAACTTCATTTGCCAGCTCCTTCAGGACCAACGGATGGATTTCATCAGGTCCCATGGACTTGTGCACCTGCAGATTTTTAAGATGGTCTCCAACCAGATCCTCTCCTACAGTGGGTGCAAGGTCTTCATTCTCACGGTCCCTGTGTCTGCCTTCCAAGACTTGGGTGGTTTGGTCAGAGCCTTTGCCAGTGAAGACCGAGGCAAAGAAGTCATTCAGAACCCCAGCCTTCTCCAAATCCAGGGTAGCCAGTTCTCCTGAGAGCTTCCTGAGGGGGCCTACGTTGTCCCTAGTCTGTTTTTTATTTGCTATGTACCTGTAGAATCCCTTCCTGTTATCCTTAACATCCCTAGCCAAGTTTAATTCTAACTGGGCCTTAGCTTTCCTAACCTGGTTGCTAGCTTCCTGGACAGCATCCCTGTACTCTTCCCAGGCTGCCTGTCCTTGCTTTCACATTTTATAAGCCCCTTTTTTCATTTGAATTTTCCTCAGGAGCTCCTTATCCATCCAAGGAGGTCTCCTGACCCTCCTGCTGCACTTCCTTCTAGTTGGGATGCAACACTCCTGAGCTTGTAGCAGGTGATCCTTGAATATCAACCAAGAGTCTTGGGCCCCCCTGCCCTCTAGGGCTATATCCCACGAAACCTTACTAAGCAGGTTCCTGAAGAGGCCAAAGTCTGCTCTTCTGAAGTCCAGGGCAGTGAGCTTGCTGCACGCTCTTCTCACTGTCCTGAGGATCTCAAATTCGACCATCTCGTGATCGCTGCATCCAAGGCTCCCCTGGAGCATCACATTTCCAACGAGCCCTTCCCTGGTGGTGAGCACAAGGTCAAGCACGGCACCTCTCTTTGTCGGCTCCTTTATTACTTGCAAAAGGAAGTTGTCTTCCACACAATCGAGGAACCTCCTGGATTGCTTGTGCCGGGCCGTACCATCCCTCCAACAGATGTCAGGGTGGTTGAAGTCACCCATGAGAACAAGGGCCTGTGAGTGTGAGGCTTCTCTTATCTGTCTGTAGAGTGCATCATCCGCAGGTTCTCCTTGATCAGGCGGTCTGTAACAGATCCCCACAGTAATGTCTCCCATCACTGTTTTCCCTTTAACCCTGACCCACAAACTCTCTGTGGACTGCTCACCTGTCCCCAGACAGTTCCATACTCTCCAGCCTATCCCTAACATAAAGGACAACTCCCCCTACCCACCTGCAGTGCCTGTCTTTTCTAAAAAGCCTGTATCCTTCCATTCCAACACTCCAATCATAGGAGCCATCCCACCATGTTTCTGTGATGCCTATTATATCATACCCCCGTAGACGTGCATACGTCTCTAATTCCTCGTTTGTTCCCCATGCTATGGGCATTTGTATAGAGGCATCTGAGCTTCAACTGAAGCCGGCTCATTGGCTGGAGCAGCTGGGATATCTCTACATTGCTCTGAGCATTTATTATAGGTGCTGCCAATCGACTGGATGTGTTGGGATGGAATGATGCCCCTCCTCCCATCTAGTTTAAAGCTTCCTTGACCAGTCTGGCAAGCCTCCTACCAAAACTGCTCTTCCCCTATCAGCTCCACCCGCCCCCAGTAGACCTGGCCTACAAACTTGGGTCCCGTGTTCAAGACACCCAAACCCCTGGCTATGACACCACCCTTTTAACCATTTATTAACCTGGCTAATCCTCCCACCTTTTTTTAGGTCCTCCCCTGTACCCTGGAGAATTGATGAAAAGACCACCTGAGCTCCAGAGCCTCTAACTACCTCTCCCAGGGCTCTGTAGTCCTTCTTTATGTTCCCCAGGCTACTACTATCTGTGTTCCTAGCACCCACATCTATCACCAGGAGTGGGTAATAGTCCGTGGGACTTCCTGGAGCAGGCAGCCTCTCTGCTGCATCCCTGATCCGTGCCCCCGGTAGGCAACACACCTCCCTTGAGACGGGGTCTGGCCGGCAGACGAGTGCTTCTGTCCCTTTCAAAGTAGAGTCCCCTACTACTACGACCCGCCGCTTTTTCCTAGCGGCACCAGTAGAGATCTTCTTTAGCAGTGCACCAGCCGGCTGCTTCTGGCTCCAGTGCGCTTCCTCATTAGTCCCCTGCAGGACAGCAAAGCGGTTCTGTGTGGGGACAGGGGATTTAGGGGGAAGCCCCTTGCTTTTGGTTGTCCTTTTCCTTCTTTTTTTTGTTGTTTTTTTTTTGTCACTGATTCCCAGCTTGCAGGGTTAACGGCCTCCTTCGTTCCTTCATGAGCTAGAGGGGAAGCTCGAGGCCCCTGCACAGTTTGGGCCAGGTGCAAGCATTCCTGCTTCCTCTGAGCTTCCCTGACATCTCGCAGTCTATTGACAGCATCCCGCAGCTCAGCCCCTGCTGCAGGAGCACCTCCACCAGGGAACACCGAGTGCAGCCCTGCCCGTTGTGCACCCTCCCCTCACCAGACCAGTGCAGGCACTCTCTGCACTCCCAGCTCTGCACTGCAGCCTCCCCTCTCGTCGGCTCTGTCTGGGTGCCTACGCTGCCACCACCGGGGCAGCCAGAGCAGAGCCCCCAGACGGGGCCCTGATCATACGACGAGTGCTCGCCATCCCGCTCGAACTGCTGCGCAAACTGCCTCACCGCGCTCCCTGGGGCAGGTTTTTAACCAGTCAGGGCTGGTGCTGCTGCTTCAGGCTCCGTCCCCCGTGTGTCAGCTGCTCGCTCTCGTCAGATGAGCTGCCGGCTCCGGGCAGGTCCTGTCGAGGACTTGAGGCTCCCTCGGTGGCCCTTGTCGCTCTGAGTTGGGGCTCCTGGACGGATCTCCCCCCCCCCCCCCCCCCCCGCTCCGGTGTTGAAGGCGTCCTCTCTCAAGCTACTCACCTCAGCAATTCTGCAATTCTGCAGCTTGTTGCTGGGGACTCCATACAGTTGCCTTCCATCTCTGATGCTTCCAAAGCACTGGAGGGGCCCAGTGGACTAGATACTTGCCCATACTGTCCCACACACCCTGCCACTCATGACTGTCCAGCCTCGGGGAAAATATCTTAGTCCTCCTATATCGTTGTCTAACCCTAGACAGGACCCAAACACAACTCTGCTTAACTTTCAAGATCAGATGAAATGGTCGTGGATAAAACATACTCCGTATGCATGCCACCATGGTGATCCCCATCACAATCAGCAGACAGGTCTCAAGGGTACCCAAAGGCCCTTCAAAACCTTCAGAACTCTCAAATGATGCTATAAATGGTCTGGTGGGGTGGCTGGGAAGGTAAGGGAATGTCTCCTTCACAGGTTGACCATCCAAGGAGGGGAAAAAAGATGTGTAATTGCTAAACACTTGTATTATATACCTCCCAAAGTATAGCGGTGGTGACCACACTGGGAACACAAGCCAGATCAGTTTCATGATCAATGAGTCTATTGTATTACAAGTCATTACCATAAAGTACAATGAAACAAGAACCTTAGCCCAAGGCCCCCAGCCAATAAACACTAACACAGCAAATACTGGCTGTAAGATACGATACACTGAAACTGTG